GTTGAAGTTCAAGAAATCAAAGTTTATATTCAACATGCATGCCTGGTGCGACACTCTCTCTACGGCCAGCGCCGATCCAAGGTTGAACAAATCATGATCCTTTGAAGCATGAAGGGTCATAGTACTTGGGTTTTGTTACCTCGGCTCGTCCACCTGAACCGTGAGTTTTGCCGGCGAAAATCCATCAAGCAAGCCCATACCGATGCTCTCTTCATGACCAACGCCGTGATGGAGATGAACGGGTGATGGTCCTTTGGTGTTGATGACTTCGGTAATTTGTGGTACCAAACCCATTGCCGGAAGAGTTGTTGATGTAGTTAACAGAGCCCGCGGATGACCGTTGCTGACCCGGTGCTCGCCAATTTATTGGTCGAGCAAAGAATTGCTTCGCACCGGAGTAAATGGTTGGACCCATTTTGATTTTCTTTGACGTTCACAGGTGTGCAGTGCGAAATATCACCGAAAATCCAAACTGGGTATGGATGATGGATGCCGGCGATATACTTGCATTGGAAACTTGAGTGTTTCTCCGGTGGCGAAATTTGCTTTCTTCTGGCCGTCGCCGCTGACATTCAAGGCGAGGAAGGAAGGTGACGGCAAGCTCATGGCGGTTTTGACGGTGCTGTCAGTGCCGTTGTTGAGCATCGACGACAATTCCCTTGATGTCCTGTTGCTCGACACCGAGAACCGCAACAAGATCGATGCGTTTCATTTGAGAAACCCACTGGTGCAACATTACCACCTTCAGAAAGCGTTCCAGTCCAAAGGGTCATGTGAGCTCCTTCACCTCACTGGGTGTTTGCAGATAAAGACCATGTTATAATAATTAATTACCGTGTCTACATCATAGTGTTGTAAACTTCAAAACTTTGAATTGATATACCAGCGAAGGGCGACCTCATCATGTTTGGCAACGGAAGGAATTAGATGAGATGAAGGCGGCGCCAGGAAGGTTGCCGAGGTGCATGCATCCAGCCGAAAAGGCTAGGTTGAATTCTGGTGGACATTTGATCGTTGCAGTTGGTGAGATTTAACGATGGAAGCAACAATGAGAGTGGTATATCCGGAGAGCCGTGACCATGAATAAAGCTATGACAGTGGCGAGGAAAATTTGCGTCTCACCAAAACGATTTCTTTCTCTCCGGCCGAATGCTCATGCTCTGAAGTATACCAGTGCCCACACTTTCTCTGCCGGTATCGTTAATTGTTCCAGTCTCGGTGTTAGTTTCCGGCTGCCAAAACCTCAAACTGTCCGCTGCAACCTAACGGCGACATCCATGTTCGCGGGCAACATGGCCGCCGGTGTTATCTATGCCACCGCGTTATCCAGCGGCGACTTCAAAAACGGTGCAACACTTTCCCTACGGCCAGCACCGGTCTAGGGATGAATGACCATAATCCGTTGGAGCATGAAGGTGACGATAGGCGTTATTGCAATCAATCCCATCGCGGAAGAGTCATGCATATAATTACAGTAGGTTCGCCCACTGTTGGCTGGAATAAATTGGGTTTCTCATTAGATTAAATGGCATCAAACTCCTCTTGGTGTGGGTTGATTTTCCCTATCAATGCAACATTCACCTAAAATTGCAGACCAACCCGAAAGCTGCAATAGCTCTATCCACAAACTTACATCATCCACAGCCTCTGGCAAGCTTCCCTTTATTTAAGAGCTGAGTATTTCAGTCTGGTGAAGATACTTCAACGATCAAATTTTCCCACGATAATTCAGCTCAACGAGACCCAAAACCGTTGGGTATGACAATGGGTTTCTCCAACTTCTCTCTCTGGAAGTGTTCTATAGCTGCTATTACGTTTCTGTTTTGGTGTGTAAATGAAACATTAATTGGTTGGAAGCTTCAATATGGCCCAGGTGTAAATGGCCATTACAAAGAAATGATACTCATTTCTCTTTCGATTAATAAATGGTTTTAGTTATCCATACTTTAAAGGCAAAATTAGCCTTGACTGGTCCCAGGCCGAACACAAAAATTGGCCTAAATAAATACAACTCTACAAAAATTCGGTATGAACCCATTTTTATAGAGTTGGGGGGCAATTGTTAACACCTAAAATATAATTCGAGGCAATCATGCCACGTGGTCAAAGAATATGAGGTCCGAACCTTGGGTCAACCCATGATCATTAGGGTGAAAGATTAATTTCTAATCAGGGTGATCAGGTTTAAGGTTGGGAATTAAGAAGAATGGATTTTTTAGGCCATTAAAGCTGAGATGAGGTTTTGAGCTTGTAACCGGTCCCAATTGGGACTCTCAGTCTCAATGGTCATGATCATGAGTTTAGGCCAAAATCTTCTCAGTCACTATGGTTATAAGAGTCTCAGTCCCATGGTCATAAGTTTAGGCCAAAACCTTCTCAGTCAATATGGTTATGACTTTCAGTCTTAATGGTCATGATCATGAGTCTCTCCAAAGACTCATAACCAGCCATAATCAAGACTCATGACCAAATATGGTTATGATTAGGGGTCTCGGGTCATAATCACTTGAAGAATCTTTGGGGTAATTCTCAGTCACTATGGACATAAGAGTCTCAGTCCCATGGTTATGAGTTTAGGCCAAAACCTTTTCAGTCAGTATGGTTATGACTTTCAGTCTCAGTCACTATGATCATGAGTTTTAGGCCATATTTCTCTCAGTCACTATGGTCATAAGAGTCTCAGTCCCATGGTCATGAGTTTAGGCCAAAACCTTCCAGTCAATATGGTTATGACTTTCAGTCTTAATGGTCATGATCATGAGTCTCTTCAAAGACTCATAACCAGCCATGATCAAGACTCATGACCAAATATGGTTATGATTAGGGGTCTCGGGTCATAATCACTTGAAGAATCTTTGGGGTAATTCAAATGAAGATCGGCTGGAATCCCAATGATTTAAGAACCCAACAAGTCAGGTCTGGAAACGTGAAAAGAGCTTGAAATAAAAAAGGACAACTTGACAATATCAGAAGTTCAGAACTACAATTGGAAGGTTCTCACATACATCTGATGAGGAGAGTCAAAATTGTCAGTAATCAGATGCCTCCAGGCTAATGTACAAATCAAGCCAGACATGACAGGTGCAGAGAGCTGAAAATGGCTTGAAGACCAAAATCATCAAGCATGAAAGACAAGGCACCACTTAGTTAAAAATACTATGTCAGACATACTTTAATTTGCCTATAGAAGAATGTGCAAGTCAGTCAACCTGACCAGCTCAGTAAGGTGGTTAGGAAGGGTCACTTTCAGTTTACAACCAATCAATTTCTAGAGAAATGGTTGAAAGGGACAACACCAGGTGGAAACCTCTATAAATACCCACTCAAGCTTCACAAGGAAGGGGTCCAAGACCATTTCTGAAGTTCAACCTTTAGCATTCATATCACTTAGCACTTAGCTTTTATTTCATCAAGTTCAGTTTATTACTTAGCTTTTATTTCAGTAAGTTCAGCTTAGAACTATCAGTTTAGTACCTAGTTATCTTTCAGGATTCAATACTTTAGTTTCTATTTCAATCAAGAGTTTGTAATTCATTCATCATTGTAATCAGTCAAGTTCAATGAAGAAAGGTTTGTAGATTTAGGTATACTTATTGTTCAGTTTAAGTTACTTCTAATTGATACTCATCTTAAATGTTTAAAGTCTTTTCTTAAAGGCAATAGCAACCTTAAGGAGAGGGTCATTTCTACTCTCTAACTCTCGCCTGAATCACCTTAGGTCGGTGACTCGACCCAATAGGAATAGTTTAGCAAGAAATATTCAAGTCCATCAGGACTATGGCACGCCCGCATTCTGGGTCAGTCATTCATTGGCTAGCGACCTCAGACCACTTTGTGAGCCAAACAGCAATAAAATGCTGACAGTCATAATGAGGGAAAATTTACGGCCTTTTTTATAAAAGATATATATATAATTTTAATGATTTTTTTTTTCTTTTTCTATTTTGGTCAATAACCAATTATATTTCGTCATGGGAATGCTTAAAACGCTATATCCATAGGCAATGGATGAGTGTACCAGACCAGAGATCTGTACGACTATAGTGATGGACTGATTCCATATAGATTCATAATATTTTTAAAAATTGATCAAAATTTCTTATTTATTTATATAAAAATATAATTTTTTATTTTTTATTGCCCTATGTTATCGTGCACATATCCCATATGGGCCATACTTATCCATATTTAGTATTTTAATAGCCTGAAAAATTATAGCCACATGGCTCCAATGTACCAGAACAGTAATATTGCTGTAAAAAAAAAAAATAATAATAAATAAATAAATAAATAAACACTCTTATGCCGTTCCTGGGGTGCATTACTATCCAGAATACAGTTCCAAAATTTATACGTAGTAAATATAAATCAGTATTTGTGGGGGCATATATAGATATATATTTAGAGAGGGAGATAGAGTGATATTTTTGAAATGAGGTAAATTAATAAATTACCTATATCAACTCTTTTAATTAACTAATTAAGTGATTTGACAAAATTAACCTTAAATGATCACTTACTAATATTTAAGTTTTATATTGAGTCACTATTCATCTTTTTTTTATTTTATTATGTATAAGATTGGTCACTAAAATCTAATTTTCCCTATACAAATTTAGGTACTTAAAATGAGTTACAGCTTCTCTCTCTCATCAAGTCACTCACCTAGTAATTAAATAAAAAAATAAAAATAATATGCCACATAATGGTCACCCACTCTTACAAGCAACTTCTAATTTTAACACTTAAACACAACTCAACCACATACTAGTCACTGCCACAAAGAAAATTCCTACTACTAAGTAGTAAATACACATTCGAACTTGAGCCTTCTCTCTTCTTCTTCTTCGTTGGTTTTTTCAATCCTTGGGATCACATGCTCTGCTATTTCACATTTTAACCACGCTCTGATATAGTTTATTGATTATAACACGCATTCAAATTAACCCAGAAATGGGTTGAATATAGAATCTAAAAATCATAGGACAAAAGAAAAGACATGAACAATTAAATTTGCAGAATTGCTGCATTGATTGATTAAATTGGTTACCAGTACAATACACATTACATCTAGAAGGGGGCAAAAATGAGTAATTTTTGTTTTTGCTTCTCATCATTTCATCTTCCCTCCTGCATAATAAGATGTACAAAGGATTGTAGTAACAATTACAGTGCAAACAATGGGGTTGCCTCTATACAAAATGGCTACACGACTCCAACTAGTTGGGACAGACAGCTTTGTTAGGTATCATCTTCACGATGCAGCAGCCACCATGCTGGACTCTTCCGACAATTTCCAAACACTCAGCTCACCTGCTGCATCACCAATGAAGAAAAGGCCTCCAGGCCCTGTCTGAATTGCTCGAACATTCTGGTTAGCAAATATTTTGCCCCTTTCTTTAAAGCTAAAGCCAAATAAAATATATAGTTGGATAATCAGCAGGCAAAGAAGAAATTTATTAACCAAAACAAAAGACGAAAATTATGATGAATTGTTGAGACGAAAACTATGATGTAATGCTGAATTGTTGAAACTCACGATGGTAACTCCAATAAGCAGACAGTGCAGTCGTCAAATGCGCAAAGCAAGATTGGTTTTTCTTCAGTAGCATCATGTACCCCACAGAGCGTAAGAACACCCTGAAACAGTAGAATTTAATATTAATTAGTTCTTGCAGCCCTTAATCACCATTGAGAACTGACTAGAAATAATAAATGCAAAGAATTTATAAGATTTAAATGACAAACAATTTGGACCTCAAAAACCCCACACAACCACCACCAACACACAAAAAGGAAAAAGAGAGAGAGAGAGATCATATTCATTATGCCATTTATGATGCTTGAGAAGTCGCTGGTCATCTGAACATAGGGAGTAAGCCTCAGTTTCACTCGGTTTTTTGGTTTTGTTTCTCTAGCCGAAAACAAGGGTGCTTCAGATAAATGGAAGGTCAAATAATGGGGGCGCATTTGTACAAAACCAAATTCTCTCATGAGTCATGACTGGAGGGACTCATGAGCACTTCATCTTATTGATTTAAGCTCAAGAACATTACTGACCCAATCATAAAAGAACTCTAAAATTTGCAACCCCCAAAAATTCTAACCACAGGAGGTTTTGTGTGCTTCAACAACTAAAAGCAGTTAGTATAACTATGGATTTAGTCGAGCCAAATACAGAGCCTTAACCACTACAACATGATTCTCAAACAGAAATTTTTACCCATGTTGATTGCAATTCATGGAAATCCTTATGAGTACATAATTAAGGTCTAGTGAATTGATAGACACATGGTAATCCAAAGGCTTTACTTTTTAGGACATTCAACTTACATAAAATCATCATTCCTTACATTCAATTAAGGTTAATTTATGTCACATTCCTATAGAATTTATTACAGTATCATGTTCCCAATGATCATACAAGTGTTTAATGATAAAATCTCTCTAAAATTAAGTCACCTTCCTTTAACAAGGTTAGAAAGAAAAAAAAATGCAACATTTAAGAAATACAATGTAACAGGTATAAATATATACAAAAATGATTATCAGAAAATGTCATTAAAAAACTTACATGCCCCATATTGCGTGTGTGGATTACTTCCAAGTTCCCACCAACAGTAGTACCCCAAGCCTGCAAAAAAGAAAAAGAATCAGAGGCACGAACTTATAATAAGATAATGTAAAAATTATCAATTAATAACCAGAAAAGAAGATAACCTTTATTGTTCCATCTAAGGAACAAGATAATAAGAAGCTGTCCCAGCAAATAACTGACATCACAGTGTCTGTGTGCCCATTCAGTGTATGAATACACTCTAAAGTGTCGAGATCCCATGCCTGGAAAAAGAAATGCAATTATTACCAATCCTTAAATATAGAACCAATCATGAAAAATAAAGGGCAGAGCAGTAGGAAAAAGATGATAATCAACACAAACTTACTCTTATGGTGTGATCCATTGAACCAGAGTAGAGCCTATTAGCTCCAACAACTAGTGAAACAACACCACCACTGTGACCCTTCAATGATGCAGCAAGCTTTTCAGAACTGGATTTCCATGCCAATATGGTACCATCCTGTTCAAAAATGAAATAGAGACTATAATATAAGCATCCAATTTCAAACCAATCCAATAATCAAATAAGCACCTTTGATCTCAAAACTATACTAAAAAGTACGAGAAACAGTGTGAATACTAAGTGTAGCTACCTGAGTTCCAGCAAAAAGCATGTCGTTTCCCACAACCATGGCCTGAACTGCCCCGACTGGTCCATCAAGAGTCAGGTCAGTATGACTCTGGGTGTTCCATGCCTGCAACATCACCAACCCCAACACGGACCCAATAAAAATACAAACCATATATACGGATAATTTAACGACCACACTTGAATAAAATATTATAGTAACGTTCAAAAGTCTAAACAAAGTACCTTAACAGCATTTGGCAAGCCTGCAAACACCCATGGACCTTCACTAATCATACACCCAATTTCACCCTCAAGGTTAAGAACACCAACACACTGCATCAACAAAGAAGAAACACAACTACATTATGAAATATATCACTTAAACGAGCAAACCAGAATTTAATTCATGAACAAAGAATAAAATTTCCGATAAAATAATACCAACCTGACCAGTACTGCAGTCCCAAGCCCGCACTGATTTGTCCCTGCTCCCCGAATAAAGCTTGTTGGAGCAGGAAGGAAGGGCAATCCCAGTAACATCCTGTTGCCAATGTCCCACAAACATAATGGAGAGTTTAACAAAAATAATTCAAGGAACTACACAAATATAGATACAATGAATGATTATTAGTAAAGTACCTTATCATGCCCTTCAAGCTTTGCTATCATTGAAAATCTATGGCCGCTGAACCATGAATGCAAGTCCTGGCACTTGTCCCCATGCACACAATTTCCGCCAATCCAGTACTGGCATATCAATTTCTCTTGGGTCTTTTGAACACCACTTTCAGCTCCACTCCCAGCTCCACCACTTGGAGGGGCAGATGACTTTTTGGGGCCATGGTTGGGACTCCTATGCCAAGTGTTCGACCCAGGATATTTATTGTATTGCTTAGGCTGTGTGGGCAGTGATCCTCTGAGTTTAGATTGTTGGGGCTTCGATTCTTCGTGCAAGAACCGACATGGGTTCCTATTACATCTTCCAGCAAGCCAATAGGAGCAAACTTTGTTGAAAACTGGTCCTCCTCCTCCTCCTCCAAGTCGACTAAAAACTGATCTTTCTTTCGTATCCGAAACTCTTCTGGTTGATTTTATAGTCATACTATGCAAACAAAATATACATATAGATACCGTTAATCATACAAATCGAAAGAAGTCGCCTATAATCCAATGAAATCTTTCTTTGCCGAATAAAACCTCGTTACCGATCATTCAATTCATTGAGAATCCGGATCTCTCTCAGCGCCTTCAATCATCCAGTAACACAGTAACACAAAAGGCGAATAAAATAAATCTAAACGAATCCAAATTACAGAAACCTAAATAGGAAACCCTAAAATTCGAAACCGTATCAAGCCCCAATGAAGAAGTAGAGAATCGGGTCTGAACTCAATAGAAACCCTAATACTCTGAGGGGGAGTGTAAGTAGCAAACCTGAAATCGATTATCTTGTGTCTTCAGGAAAGATTGCCTCAGCTGTGATTGTTGAGAGATGGTGATACTCAGATAAGAAAGAAGAAGAGCCGATGATTGTTGAGAGGTGATACTCCGATCGCATTTGCTAGGGTTTAAGGGGGCGTGAATCCCCCTGCTGTAGGTATCCCTGCGGTCCCATGCGGTGCAATCAAAACGCAGTCGTCGAAATTAATAAGCGGTCCAAAACTTGCCGTGTCTACATTCGTTCTTTTGTCTATTTTTGCCTTTTTACCTTAACCACGGTTAAACTAGCTCTATACCCCAAGTTATTACGTATATACGTATTTGATATACAATTATTTTTTGTTTTTTTAGATGCGACGTGGAGAAGACTGTCTCAATCTAAAATCCTCTCTATTTCAAAATGATTAGATCTAAATTTCTCTCGCCTCGACACCCAGCCATTAGCCATATAACCCAATAATTTTAGATTTTATAGAACAGATAAATAAGTATAGCAGATCCAAATATTTGATTTAGGGTTCTCAGGTTCAACATTATTTTTCTCTCAGATGCGATTTAGATTGTATAGCACAAGAATACGAGAACCAAATATTTGATTTAGGGTTTTCATCTTCAACAACATATAGCTGAATTCATGGTCTGTTCCAGCAATAATCATCTACTCATTCGCATAGTCACTCAACAACCAAAGCCCAATTTACCAGCCATGGCCGATGCTCAGCTCAAGTCTGACGACGTCATGGACCAAATGAAACTCCTGAGCAAAGGTAAGGGTTTCTCATTTATACTCTATTTCATTCTTAATTTTATCTCAATTCTGAATCAATTTCGATAATCAAGCAAGCCTCAAACCCTCTCATCAGTCCAGTGCATTTTACAGCTATATATATATATATATATATATATATATATATATTGTTACTATGCGTTCTCACATTTAGCTAGAATGCGTCAATTGATGCGATTCTTTGATTATTTGTGTAATTATTTTATTGATTTTTTTGGAGAATTTTAGGTATATATGAAAGTGAAAAACCTGATGCCACCTTTTCTTTCAAGGATGAAGATTTGTTAAGGTCTCCATTGGCAAGTTGAACCCCCAGATTGCTTTCATGAGGTCTCGTTCTCTTTTCATATTAGTCTTTTTCAAATCTTTTATTTTTCATACTTTACAAATAAAGTACCAAAAAATAATGTTTTGATGTTTTTGTGATACACTATTGGATGCAGGGGTGCGATGAAGATTAAGGGCAGTCTCAGCGTGCGTTGGAAATTTACTCATTACAGTTTTCCCAAGCCTTCAAAAATGTGAGAGTACACAAAACCAATGATTTATGTGGGAGGGTGATTTACTAGACAGTTATTTCAATTTTCTATAAAGCTACGATTTTGTAGATTGATACTATTTCACACCCATGTTAGGAAATTGATAATAATCTGAAACCATCCTTCAACATATGTGGTATTTGATTGAAAGTTTTTACTCCTAAAGGAATTTTAAATTTAATTTTCCTTTCCGAATCATCTCAAGCTCACTTGTCTCTTTGATTGAAATCATAAGCATTCGAGGATCTGTAATTTTTTTATGTACCTTCATAGTTAGCTTATCTCACTATTAAGTTTAAACAATTTTTGTGGATTGGTTGTTAATCTCAAGCATTACGCACCAATGCATAATTCTTAGTTTCTGTCAACATTTATTAAGAATTGTGTTGGAGTTAGAAATCATTGTAAAATTTCAAAGTATGTTGTATAATGTTGTAGGTTGGGTAAAGAGGGAGAAAAGTAAGTACTCCAGGAGAATTCTAAGATACGTTATTCGAATAAAAAAATCAAAGGTCCTTGAATATCTCGATCTTTCTGTGTTT